CCATCACAAGTCCACCCCTTGTCAACTTGACACCCAATAGCATCTCTCTATGTCATGCTTAATTTTCCAATGAAAACAATGTTGAGGTCACAATTTCACCTAACATGATATAACTATCCCAATGACCAATGCATTATATATCTTTGAGTAGGTGATAAGGTCTTCGAGGAATGCTTAGTCCTTTAGTGTCTCACAACCCAATATAATCATATAGGTTCACAACACTTAACCACTTAACACTTATCTCAATTACACATTGAGAAAAAAGAATAACACAAGTATCTGCTTAACATATGTGTATACATGCACAAGCCTATTTTTAACAAAATAGGACAAAAATACTCATGTCAATTACAATCCACATTTCTGCAACTGGTCACGTGGAAAAAGCTGGTATTTGTAATTCCCTTCCTCTACTACCCATTCTGTACTTCCTCCACCATCAGCAAGCACCTCTGCAGGTCTTGGATCTTTCCCTGGAGGAGTGACCCATATTTTCATCCCTGAAGGCTCTGGGCCATTTGTTGTCCTGTCTGGATTGGGTTGTTGCAGTTTCCCATTGAGCTTAATCACAAGACATGGTAACACCAAAAGCCACCCTAAGGAATCTCTTGCCTTCTAGATATTTTCTTCATTACCTCCATTGGGGAGAACCAATCCAATTTCCCCCTGGTAGTCTGGGTCCATCACCCCTCCTAATACTGTTATTCCTTTCTTAGCCAGCTGACTTAAGAGCTTCAGAAGCCCAAAGCGTCCAGGGGGATGTCTTAGCTTCCAGTTCAATGGAATGTTTGTTGTCTCTCTTGGCAGAAGCACTCCCTCCTCTGGAACCAAAACTTCTAAGCCAGCAAAAACTTTCCTAGTGGGTCACCAGGGGTGATAGTGAGTGGAATCATTCCCACTTCCACCCCTTGATTCCTGGACCCGTGAATCCTGGCGATAGGAGAAGTACAGCTTCAGTTGCAGTTAAGACCCAGAATTGAAGGGGTGATGGAGAGAATCTGAGGCTTTGCACCCAGAGAGGCAAAAAGAGGCCATTGGTGAAGGTGTAGCCTCAGTTTCAGTGGAGCCCCTAGCTTTTTGGAGATGCCAGGACCATAGGATGACCACCAAGAACCGCAGTAGGTGTGGAATGGAGCTGGCCTGGGTGTGCGAGACAAGCTGTTTGTGCTGTGGACGGCAGAGTCAGAGCAGTGGAGCTGTCAGAACCCTTTGGAGGCCAGAAGATTGTGAGTGAATCACAGATGTCCAGCCTTGAGCTACTTTTCTGGACTTTGGTTTTGCTTAGGTGTGCCCAATTCTTCCCTTTGAAATAAGACAGTGCTTGTTTTGGATTTTACGGAAGTCCACAGTCAAGAGACTTTTAAAAGAGACTATGAACTTTTAAGCATTTGGATTTTTTTAAAGACTGGGGATTTTAAGGTTGTACAGTCTTATGTTGTCATATTAATGTTAATATCATATCTTGGGGACAAGAATTGGAAAGGTTATGGTTTAATAGTGATGTGTTTGTGTGTCAAGTTGACAAGGGGTTGTTAATTGTGCTGGATAGCTTTAGTGTCAACTTGACACACCTGGGTTGAGGGAGCCTCAACTGGGGAATTGCCTTCATTGGACTGGCCTATGGTCATATGTCTGTGGGACCTTCTTGATTGCTGAGTGATGTGGGAGGGCCCAGCCCACTGTGGGTGGTGCCATCCTTGGGCAGGTGGGCCTGTGTTGCATAAGAAAGTAGGCTGAGCAAGGGGCCAGGGGAGCAAGCCGGTAAGCAGCATTCCTTCATGGCCTGTGCTCCAGTTCCTGCCTCCAGGTTCTTGCCCTCAGTTCCTACCTTGGGCTCCCTGATGAACTGTGACCAGGGTAATGTAAGATAAATAAACTGTTTCCTCCCCAAGTTGGTAGTGGTCAGAGTGTTTTGTCACAGCAAAGAAGAAACAAACTAGGACACTGGTATTGGTCTTCGTCTTTATTACTCTTTTTTAAAATTTTTAAATTTTTTTCCCTGCGGCACAAAGATGCCTGGGTTTCACCCTCCCACAATGTGGCTGTTGGAGGAAACTGAGGACCCTGGTAGTTCTGGATGCTGAATCTCAATCCAGGCCATGACCAAGGCCAGGGATGATTTTCAACAAACACTGGTTTATTACTCTTTTTAGTACTGCTGTTCATGGAAGATATATTAGAAGTAATTCAAGCTGGGTTTTTTTCCCCTTTTCTTTTGTAGAATTAAAGAAAATCTACCCACTGTCATCAGAATCTCTGGATATGTGATAAATGCTTTCAAGTTAAGAAAGTAGGCATTTTTTTCCCTATCAGTCTCTAAAGGATTTATTTAGTTCTGGAATTAGTTTTCAGAAATCATTAATTCTGTAATTTGTTGGTGCAGAGCACTTTATATTATCTTGAATGCAGTGGATTTCTTCTCTCCCTGACCACGTCTTTTATATTTGTCTGCTTCTTATGTCAGTAGATCAAGAAAACAGAAGTCACTCTACTGAAAAGTCTCTCAGAATATCTCAACAGAACATCTTATGAAAACCAAATAAACAGGACCAAAAATAGAGATGTAGATGCAAATTCTTGAAAGCTGTGTAAGATTCTTTTTCAGTTCTATGGTTTATTTAATGTCTGTAACATGGTGTAGATTGAAAAGGATTTTTGGCTGCAATCTTATTGTTAGGTCACATTTCCTGACACTGAGAAGCATAATCTGCCATTGATAATTTGTCTCTGAAATGTAAACGCTCGATATTTTCAGAGTAGAAGTCACACGGCTGAGAGTCACAAGAAAGTCACATCAGCATCCCATCTTTATAAAAGCATGACCGAGGTTTATTATTCCAATGACCTATGGGGACACTCCCAGAATTAATGTACTGTAGTGCATGTGTTATGTACTAGGCTTGACATGTATAAATGTGATGAAGAATTACTCAGTTAGTTGGAGAGTCTAACAAATGTCTCACTGATTTTGGTAAGTATTTGCTACTATTGACTAAATATTTGTTTAAATCTTGGTTAAATATAATATTTACAAAACCTATACATACCAATATCCCAAAATTAAAGTAACCATATTTATACAATATGTTATTTTATCTTTCTATTGTATTTTCTAATTTAAACAATGTGATCCCTATCTTCTTTAATCTCTAATATTCCATTCAATATCTTGACTCTAAATTTACATATAATGCTTGGAACTGCAATTTACTTAAATGAGGGAGTGATGTTCAGAAACAAATTTGAGCCTCTGTTTAATATTCAAATAGTAGTCATCTCATTTCTAAGACAACATGACGAATAATACAGTCTGTCTGAGTTGGAGGTAATTGTAGCCCCAAACCCAATAAAGCTCTCTTTTTTCATTGTTTGAGAATCCTTCAAAATTGTATTCAGAATCAAAATTAAAAACGAAATGGTGGCTGGAGAGATGTCTCAGGTGTTCAGAGATCTTTTCCAATTTTTAGAGGACCGGATTTTGGATCCCAGCACTCACATTAGGCAGCTCACAAATGCCTAAACCTGACTCCAAGGGATATAATGCTCTCTTTTGGCATCTGTGGACACATACACAGACACACACAGACACACACACACACACACAGAAACACACACAGATACACATTTTAACAAATGAGATTACTTTTTTAAAAGTTGATTTTATTTTTAATTAAGTGTATGTAGGTGTTTGTGTCTATATGTGGGTATGTGGATCCTTGTGCAGGTGACCACAGAGGCCAGAGGTATCAGATCCCCTTGGAGCTGGAATTTAAGGCAGTTGTGAGTTTCTGGATATGGGTGCTGGGAACCAAATGAGTTCTTTGCAAGAGGAGTACACATTCTTTTTTTTTAAATTATTTATTCAATAACCAAATACTTAGAAGAAGCATTTCATTACAACAGCATTGACATATTCAGTAACAATTTCCAGAGCTAAGATGAATCTCTTTCAAAATCGGTTGTAAATTTTTAGGTTTATAGTTGAATTAATAGTTATACAATATCGTACTCCGTATAAACCCTATAAGACATAAAATTAAATGAGGTTTTAA